TTGACTGGAAGATGGGGGCAGTATTGAGGCATGATGACACCTTGTCAAGGATCTCTTTTCTCTCTCTTTCTCTCTGTAAATAAATAAATAAACTTTAAAAAAAAATGTTGAATTCAAATCTCAATACTTCCTGCAGGTTTCCATTCAAATTTGAACAGAGTTATATAAAGTAGGAGCCCCTGCCCCTAACCTAGCACTCATACACCTCCTTCTGCCTTGGGTCCTTCTGTATCATGAGACTTGGGCTTATGTTTGAGATGCTTCCTGGCCATCCTATCATGTTTCTGTTCACTTATAAATGCCAGTATATCTCTTCTTCTTTGACAGAGATTGCCTGTATCATACCCAATACCCAATCTTCCCTTCCCTTAAAGGCAGAAACCCAGGGCAATTTTCCCAGCTGAAAAATAACACTATTAAGCTTATTTTGTTGTAGGAATAGCTAATTAGATTTAAGTGGTAGTGTTGGGGCAAGGGTTCTAGAAAGTTCTTTGTGTCCTGTCCGTCTAATCCTATTTCCTCCTTGGAAAATGAATGTGACAACTGGAATAACATAGCCATGTTAGACCATATACTGACCTTGACAGTACAAGCTATGAATGAGACTGGTAGGGCAGAAAGACAGAAGTTGGGCTTTCTGCTAATACCTTGAAGACACTGCACTGGCCTCCTTCCAGGCTTCTTAAGTGAGAGGGAAAGTAAGCCCCTTGGTTTGTTTAAGATGTAGGTAGTACTTCTCCTTCTCTGAGACCTACTCCTGCCCTGTTCAGCTCTGCTCTGTATTGCAGGGATGACATTTCCCAGGCTCCACTGTCTTCTGTCTCCCAGCGAGACTTAGCTAATAATTTGTACACTTCAGAGCAAGATAAGGGAGAAAGCAGGAATATTTTTATTACTTTGTCCCTCTTTATGGAGAGATTGGCCCCCACCAGTAGGTCCCAGCCCTTTATGACTTCTGCCAACAAAGTTTGAAGAAACCTTGAATCTTGTTTCAGAAAACGAAACTCAAAGTCTTCTATCTTCTCTTTGCAGGCCATGTGTTTATTGCATGCTTCCTTGAAAATCATTTCTCTGTCAAAGATTGGAGCCCTGGTGCCAGCAAACCACCCAGTGCGTACTCTCCTGCTGAGCTTTTACTACAGACCAATCTTCTCTGGTTATCTATTTCTTGAACTGGGATCATGGCAGTATGTGTGCTGGAGATGTGAGACCAGGGTTATTGTTGATAGGGTCCTCTCACCAATCCCAACATTCCATTTACACTATGTACAGCATACCTTGAGACCAATTTAACCTTTTTAACCTTTCTTAAATTCTTTATTGGACCACATCTACTCTGGGATAGTCCATCCCTCTAGCATTTCTAAATAAGTTCAATAAACTGTTGAAATTCTTCCTTGGTGGTTCATAGCCAGCCTCCACAAATACCATCAGCTGTGCTCTCTGAGACCTGCTGCTCTGGAAAAGAATCTTCTCTGGTTATCTATTTCTTGAACTGGGATCATGGCAGTATGTGTGCTGGAGATGTGAGACCAGGGTTATTGTTGATAGGGTCCTCTCACCAATCCCAACATTCCATTTACACTATGTACAGCATACCTTGAGACCAATTTAACCTTTTTAACCTTTCTTAAATTCTTTATTGGACCACACGTGGTCCACACTTCAGTATCAATTGTATAAAAACCTCTGGAGGGATCATACTGATAAGTTCTCCTGCTAAAGCCAACTTCCAGATTTCTCCTAAGGCATTATCTGGTCTCTCATCTTATAGCCCCACACTGTCCCCTTAAAGGTTTCCTCCTCATAAGAAGATATACTAAGTGCTCCAACAGTTCAGATTGTGTCTGAACATTATTTTTCTGCAGTAGTAGAATGACCTTGACTTAGTTCATTTGGCATGGCCAGTTCCAGTACTGTAATTCACTAATGCCCACCCCCCACTCCCAATCTGGATGGTATTATCCAGATCAAAAATGAACCCAAATATATATATTTTTTTTCCTTTTTTTGGAGAGGTTTTTGCTATAGGGCGCGTGCACTCACCAGACAGACAGAGAGAGACAGAGAGACAGAAAGCGAGAAATCACCCCCCAGGGGGGATGGCCATGCTGCAATCCCTTCTCCTCCATTCTCCTCTCGGGATCTTGGGCACACACGCACACATGCCCAGCGTGAGTTTTAAGCCACCGGGTCTGGGACACGAACCACGGTCAACTACATGGGAGTCCAGCGACATAGCCATTACGCTAACTGCTGGTCTCAAACCCAAATATATTTATAAGTGAGCATAACCATGCATAAAGTTCAGAGGATGACCCAAAATATTTGTTATTCCCATGGAGGTTACCTTTTGGATCAAGCAGAACTGATCAAGGATGTACACTAGAAAGTTCTTTTCCCCTTTGCACCTCTCTGCCGTTTCCTCTGGCTAACAGTGCTGCCACTTGTGATCAAGGTCAACAAGGGATTTGCTTTTTCTAGCTCAAGAAAACAAATACAGATCCTTGAATTCTTCATTGTGAAGCACCTATAAGACAAACAAACCTGTCTTTTGCTATTATCGATTCTTTCTCATATAATGTAATTCCAATGTACACAAATTCCAAAAGATGTTCCCTCTCCTTCAAGGGAAGTAATGAAAAGGTATAAAGACTCAAAAACAACAGGAAAGTCTATCCTGATACAGAAAAGAATGAGGAAGGGTTAATTTTATAGCAATGAATAAAAATCAGTAAAATTAAGTTTTAAGCCATTTTAGAGGAAACAAGATTAGAATAAAGAACATGGGTAAGTCCAAAGGATTTCTAAGATCATAAAATTAAGGGGTATCTTTAAAAAAATCTTTCTCTACATGATTGTTGTTTATAAATAATATTTTCAAGGTTCCTGTGCCACAATGCTTTTAAAGAATTCCTATGCAGATAAATAGGTAGATGCATAGGTAACAATAGATAAACAGGTAGACAAATGCAATATACACATCAATGGTGACTTTTCATCAGATTAACATGCTGCAAAACAATTATCTTTGAAGAAAAGGATATATATACATGGTGCCCTCTTTACATGGTGTGTTAGGAAACCAAAATAATCTTGCACATCTTCTTTCAATAAAAGCACTTGCATATTTTTTAAATAGCAATGATATTTTTTCAAGTAGAAATTGTTGCAAGGGGCATACAAATGCTGTGAACTGAAAGGGAAAAACCAATATGCTTCTCTGTTCAAAATATCTCCACTCAGCTCACCTGATCTCCTACACTCCTGAATAAAATGGTGAGCCTTCCAGTCACATGAAAATAAAACTCATGCTTGCTTGGAAGAACGCCTCATGTTTTCAGCATGCTATGCAAAAAGTTTTCTCTTACTGTGCTGCAAAGAGGTGTGTTGATACATCTTTTAACATGGCAATTACAAACATTTTTGACACCTGGGATTAGTTTCATGGAAGACAATTTTTTTTTCCACAGATGAACAGCGAGAGAAGAGAACATTTTATGAGAGCAGGCAACCTAGAGCTCTTGCATGTGCAGTTCAATAGAGAGTTTGTGCTCCTATGAGAGTCTAATGCCACCACTGATCTCACAGGAGGTAGAACTCAGGTGGTAATAAGCCTAATGAGGAGTGACTGTAACTATAGAGGAAACTTTCCTCACTTGGCTGCAACTTACCTCCCGCTGTGTAGCCCAGTTCCTAACAGGCCACTGACCAGGAGTTGGAGATCACTATTTTAACATTCATTCTCATTTTTCTTTCTTTTTTTTTTTTGGAGAGATTTTTGCTATAGGGCGCGTGCGCTCGCCAGACAGACAGAGAGAGACAGAGAGACAGAAAGCGAGAAATCACCCCCCAGGGGGGATGGTCACGCCACAATCCCTTCTCCTCCATTCTCCTCTCGGGATCTTGGGCACACACGCACACGCACCCGGCGTGAGTTTTAAGCCACCGGGTCTGGGACGCGAACCACGGTCGACTATGTGGGAGTCCAGCGACATAGCCATTATGCTAACTGCTGGTTCCCATCATTCTCATTTTTCATACAGAATTGGGAGAGTGCAGAATTCTACACACCAGTTGTTCTTAATGGTGATCAGAAATGTTTTACAGTGGCATGATGATGTCTCCTAAATAACTATATTGTTTTGTTTTGTTTTGTTTTGAAGAAATGCAATAATTTTTTAATTTGTTGACAGTGTTGGAAAAGAACCAAGAATTAACACAGTTGGCTAGAGTTCACTACTTGACAATAGGCCTATCACATTTAAGTACAGTGAGCTTGAAAAGAAAAGCACTTTTACTTTCTAGATGCAGTTTAACTTGGGGAGTAAATACAACATGTCAGCCTCACAGTGACCTAAGAAACTCCTAGAGAAAAAAACTAGCTCTATTTGTACAACAAAGCATTTGATCTGGAAGGGACCACAGCAGTGACCTTCTTCAGCCCTTTAATGGCATGAAGAAGACAGGGACAGAAGTATCAACTTCTTCAAGTTCACACACTATGTGACCAACCACCTTGATTTTCTCAGGTCTGTTCTGGTTTGAGCACTGAAAGTCTCCCATGCCAAGAAAGTCTTGAGATGGTTGGGAATCCTAAAATTCAGTGTAGATTTCATATCTTTTGATTACTAGTCTAATATAGTTTGTCTCACATATCTTTGTTTTATACCAAAAATCTAGTTGTTCTGTTAAAAGACAATTCGTACGTGGCTTCAGTTTCCCAGTAAAAATTTTAGAGAATTACTCCTATGTAAGATATGCTTTAAATATTATTTCACTTTATTTGCTCTCCTGTCCCTCCTTTCTTTTTTAATCTTGGAAAGAAGTAGATTTATGTTGCTGTGAGTGGCTTAGGCTGATAAATCAAATCAGTACACATTTCAAATAAACAAACAAAATGAATTTGAGAGGTTATAAGTGTTTGCAAGTGTCACTGTGGAGACCAGAGAATGGATTGTTGCCATGGAGATCTGCATAAACACACTGCCTGTGATTATTTCCATGTGAAATCAGATACAGAGGAGATTAGGGAAGGAAGATATATAAATGATACTGGCAAAGAGCATTGGCTGAGGATGAATTGAGTAAGAAGGCTGGGAGATGCTAAAGCAAGCTGCAACTCTGAAATGTCTATGCTCACCATTGCTCTACTGATGCCAGAAAAAATCTTCAGGGAAAATCTCCACAGCTCAAGGGTAAGCAGGAGGTATAGTGGTTAAGGCACTGGACTCCCACATGACTGACCATGGTTCAAGTCCTGGATCTGGAGGTTCAAAACTCAAGTTGGGTGCATGTGCATTTGTGCCCAAAATCTGAAGAGGAGAATGGAAGAAAAGGGATTGTGGTGTGGCCATTCCCCCTAGGGGCTGATTTCTCAATTTCTATCTCTCTGTTTCTCCAGGAGCACATGTTCTGTATTTCTGTCTCTCCAGTGAGTGCACACACCCTACACCAAAAATCTCTCAAAAAAAGAAAAAACCCACAGTTCAGAGAATCAGGTAGGTGTGTGCCATCAGCTACTGAAGCACTATAGGGTTAGAGGTGATTTCCATTCACTCCTTCACTCCTTTGTTCACATTGGTCAGCTGTCACTGTTATAACATCCACATGGTATATTATATATATGATATATAATAATGACAGCTAGTCTTTATTAAGTACTTATCACATGACAGAGATTATGATAAGCCCTTTATTGACATTATCTCATTGAAGCTGAACAATACTTAGATGCAAATACTATCCCTATTCTATTAACAAAGAAACTGAGACACATAGACATGAAGAGCCTTACCCAAGGTTACACAGCTATAAACTGGTGAAACCAGGAGACAAATCAGGCAATCTGATGACAGAGCCCAGTGAAATACTACACTCTGATGAGAAGATGAAGTCCTTCTTTCTGGGGTGCTCCAGACCTAACTAAGGAAATAACCATAATAAAGAACTATGTTTAATAATACCAGGGCAACAGCATGTATTTCTAGTATAGGCTGAGCATTCCTAATCCAAGAGTACGAAGTCCAAAGTGCTCCAAAATTTGAAACTTTTGAATTGACACGATTGCAAAATTCCACACTTGACCTTGTATGACAGATTACAATCAAAATGCTATGAGCAAAAGTACTGTAGAAAATTATCTTAGGTTATGTATATATGATGTATACAAAACATAAATGAATTTCATGTTTGAACTTGGGCTCTATCCCCAGGACATTTCATTATGCATATGCAAATATTCTAAAACCAAAAACAGTCTAGTCTCAAGCATGATTATTGAATCTATACTTATACATTTTAGCTGGCATTTGATGATAGGTTAATGTCCTCATGAACCTCAAACCCTGACCTTTTTATCCTCTACATCTTTTGTATCGCTGTCATTCTTAGTTGCAGAGAACAGAATCCAAACAAGCTAGCTGAAAAGAAAATGGAGGTATTAAAGGGTATTAGTTACCTAACTGATATCCTATGGGATATCTTGTTTATAGTCCATTGGATGATCATAGTTACATAAAAAGATTCTATTTGTCATTTCTCTTTGATTGAAAGCTTACAGCAAAAGGTAATCTCCCTCCATTTGGCAAGTTCATAGGATTTCATGGTGTAATTTTTGTTTTTGTTTTTTGTTTTTGTTTTTCTGAGAGTTTTTTTTTTTTCCTGCCGGGCATGTAGGCTCGCCAGAGAGACAGACAGAAAGCAAGAAATCACCCCCTTGGAGGTATGGCCATGCTGCAATCCCTTCTCCTCCAGTCTTCTCTCCAGATTTTGGGCACACACACACACGGCAGCATAAGTTTTAAGCTGCCAGACCTGGAACTCGATCCACAATTGACTACATGGGAGTCCAGGTACCTAACCATTACACCATCTGCTGGTTCCTCATGGTACAATGTTTAATATACTGCATGCTTACTTTCTAATCCTTATTTTTATCTTACTTTCTAATCCTTATTTTCTAATCCTTATTTTGTCTCTTTTTGCTTATTTATTTTTAATATATTTTATTTTAATTTCTTTCATACATTTAATTACAATACATCACTTAGCTTGTAAAGTGAATTTTCCAACATGAATTCATTTCACACCAGTCCAGTTGGGGACACTATTTATTTGAATCTTATCTCACTGCATTATATGAATCTTTTTATGCCAAATTGTTTAAAAAAAAAATGGCCCAATCATTTGGCTATTTGTATGATACCCAGATTATCACAGATGTCCAGGAAACTTTCTTGGTCTCAATTCTTGCCTGGTCTGTACTCAAAGCCCCCTCAAAACATTCCCACATTTGCCTGACTTTTAGCTTGGCTATGATTGTCTTCATTCCAATCCATCTACTTTTACCTTTCTGATTTCTCATGATTTCTTAATCTCTTAGGGTCTCCCATCCTGTTTCTTTGCACTGATTTGAGTTTATTTTACTTTGCATTTTCTTCTGCTATTTCTAGAGGTTGGAAGTTATAATGGAGGATGTGCTCAATCTGGCATCTTTCTACGGCACCCACTGCTTCCTTCTTCAGTCCAAGCTTGTATTTCCAACAGTCCTGTGAACATGTACACTCAGATGTCCCTGGGAGCCTCAGATCATCACATCCAAAAGGAACTCTTTACCTCTACTAAACCTGATTCTACATGTATGTATGTATGTGTGTATGTATGTGCACATGCATGTTTCCTGCATAACCAAGAAAGAAAACACAGATGCTAAATACACATATTCATTCAGTCTTTGTCATCTTCTCATTGCAATAGCATAACAAAATATACTGCTTCAGACACTGAACAAAGCAGATTAAGTCTTTTTCTCGCACTTAAAAATGTATATTTAGGAGCCAGCTCCCTGTAGAGCAGCAGTTAAGAACAATGCAGAGAATGCTGAAACCCACATGGCTGTCCAGGGTTTGAGTCCACATGCCAGAAGCTTGAAAACATACTCTATGCATGTACACATCCAGGATCCTGATAGGATAGGAAATTGGCAGGAAAAGGATTGCAAAATAACCAGACTTCCTTAGAAGGTTTTTCTGTTTCTCTTTCTCTCACACACACATGCACATTTTAAATGCACATTATTTTAAATGTTAATAGACAAAATATTTAAACAAATACTTCTATGCCGTTTCCTATGCTCTAGGAACATTTCTAAAAGTCCATGAGATTCAAAATCAATGGGAAACACATTTGGTTAGATGAGTCCTTTAAGATCGTTTAGTTAGGTCACCGAGGCACCTCTTCCCAACCTGATAGACCGAGTTAAGCACAACACATCCTATCCATTATGTCAATATGTTTATTTGGCTGCCTCTGCCATGGAACTCTAAGTTCCCTGGGGTATGTTCTTCCTCTTAGTCCTAGAACAGTGTTCATCACTGAATAGAAGCTCAGTAACTATTGATTGAAAAGTTGCCAATTTAATCCCATTTGATCATATCATTCTGCTACCTAGAACCCTTTGATGAGTCACTTCTACTAAAAGCTTGAGTCCGCATACCTTAGCATGGCACACAGTGTCCTTCAGGCTGGCTCTGACCTGTTCTTCTGGCCTCACTTATCTCAGTCTCCAGTCATGCTTCTTTCGCTCCAGCTGCATCAAGCTATTAGATCATCAGGAAAGTCATGATGCATTTTTTCCTATGTTTTTCTATACAAAAATGTCCATGACTTTCCCAAAGACCCAGTATCTCTCATGCTCCTAAAATTTTTAAGGCCTATTATGAAATCTTCTACCTGACATATCTACCTTTAAGAAAGTCATTGTTCATGACCAAACTCAAAGGTTGTTGATCCCTGCATGTCACGTGCTCCCCATAGGAGTTGTTATGCCTGTACCACCATGGTCATTAAGACGTATTTATTATATGATATTGTGGTGATTTATTTATGTGTGCTTGTCTCCCTCCCTACTCATTACGTGGGATTTAAGTTCTTCAAGGACAGCATTTATATTTTAGCAAATTTTGAATTCTCTCAACTTTCAAATGACACCTATTTTAGCTCCTAAGATATGGCAGATGATTAAATAATGTTTGCTGTAATGAATGTGTACATGAATGGACATGGGCAGCTCTTTACTGCGTGATACACAATGTCTGGAGAAGGGCTGAACCTCACATTACGTGATGTTTCTACAGAAGGTAGAAGTCAAGGTCTTATTCTTGAACCAAATTAGAAAACTTTATTTTCAAGGGCCTCCTTTTAAATAAATATACTTATTTTATTGGCTAGCTACCTACATTCTGTTCTGTTTTTTGTTATCTTTCAAATGTAAAAGAATTTTTGTCCTTGGAGAGTTTTTCCCCGTTTCTAATAGAATAGGTATGCCAGCATCATCACCTACTTGTTACTTCCTACACAGTCTATACAGGAAACTTTAGTTTCTTGAAAGTAAATCACTATTATCCCATTTAAAATAACTTTAGCTGGTTATTGGGAAGGGCCATTTTAGCCTGTCTGAAGAAAATTTTGGTAAAAATGGATTTTGCACAGTGAAAAACAGTGATAGTGACCTCTAAAGAGGCTTCAAGCAAACACAACCTGTTTTCCCTTGGCTACACACACCTCACAGTATAAAGGAGTCATATTAATAGAATAAATTGTTTATCCAGCTCTGAAACTCACTGAATATTATAGGATCTTAAATCTTTTGAAAAATTTCCTAACCATCCTAAAATATTTCTGAAGAACTCTAAGAGACATTTGAAATGTTTCAAGATGATAAATCCTCTCAGCACTGTAGCATCCGCAGTATTTCTCATCCATCTCTTCTCTGCAGGTATTTGCTGCTGAATCTCCTACTGTTCATGGTGCTAGTGACAGGGTACTTCCCATTGCTCCTAATGCCACCGATGTTTTGCCAATGATTGGCACTGCCTCCTGCTGCCTTAGAAGACTTCTTCACACATCTGTGAGAGTTACCTATGTTATGACATGTTGCCTAGTCTCCCTTTACAGGGCACCACTCCTAGTCCTGATGCTAATATTGGACCGTCATGACTTTCTCACAACACCCATGGTATGCCATACATGCCTGACAGTGCTGTTCAAGTCTGAACCCAGTGGCTTGAAAAATATGTGGGGTGTATGTGCACATGTGTCAAAATCCCAAAATGAGAGAAAATGGCGAAGAAAGGATTGTGGCATGACCATTCTTCGTGAATGTCCCTCTCCTTTCTCTCTCTAGCAAGTGCACATTCCCTCTAGCAAATTAAAAAGTGTTATAAAGGAGAGCCAGCAGGTGGTATGGTGATTTAGGTGTTAGACTCCCACATGATTGATCATGGTTCAAGTCCCAGACCTCCTGGCTTGCTTTCTCACTTCCCTTTCTCTCTCTGACTCTCTCTCGTGAGCATGCATGCACTGTAGCAAATTTTTAAAATAATAAAACTAATGAATAAATAATGTTAACTGAACAGTTCTTTAAAAACAATTTTTAAAAAGAGATAATTTCTTAGGAAGAAGTCTGAAGGCAGGTACTGCAGGGCTGGCTGTGAGGCTCAGAAATTTGTCTTCTGCATCTTTATTCTCAACATGTAGTGTCTATCTCATGACCCTGGAGGAGAGACAAAAAGGATACACCCCTTTCTCTTTAGGGCAACTTACATACATTTCTACTACCTCCCATCATCCAAAACATGGCCACAATGCCATATTTTCCTTCAAAAGAAGCTGGGACAAGTCATCTTACTTAAAAGTATACAGACTTCCAGCTAACTTAACAGCCCCACAACCAAGAAAGAAATCAAGAATACATATAAGGGGGGGGGGAGGCTTCACAAATTTCATGAAAAATAGAATTAAGTACAAGTTTATTTTGGTGAAAAAAATTGAAATTGATACATATTTTCAGAATACACATTTTTCATGAACTTTTTAAAGACTTCTCCTATTGATGACAGCCCTGAATCTCTGAAAAAAAGAATATGGGTTTCTTTTATCCTGCTTTTATACAAATTTGAAACTCATATGTGGAACACGAACAGATCATTACATTTATTATGCCACCCACACCATTGTTTGACAGGACAATGTTGAGAATTTAATTCATGTTTCATTCTCACCAGTGCTGTTACTGTTAAATTAAGCTAAGTTTGACCTGAAGATGTCTCTGTACCTGAGTCTTTATGCCATAAACTACCACTTAACTAAGTATGTAAATTCATTGGAAGTCTAACTTAGGAGCATCCTTTTGTAACAAATAGTTGAGTCTCAGCCAACCACAGAAGCAGAGCTTCAGTCAGTCACAGTCAGTCAATTAATCAGTCTATATTCAAATAACGCAAACAGCTAGCTGTAACCAATCAAGCTACCTCTGTACCTCACTTCCACTCTCCCTCACTAAATGCTGCCTGACCGTTCTGCTGGGTAGAATTTATGGCTGGCCAAGCAGCAAATCATTTTTTGTTTAATTAAACTCTGTTAAATTTAATTTGTCTAAGGTTTTTCTTTTAACATTTTAATTTCCCTTCTCTGTACTGAAAGGGTATCTAAGCCTTTTGTTTCATGCTGACCAGACTCTTATTGTGAGGTCAGAAGTAGGAACCTACGTGGCAGGTAAACCCAGACTCAGCTCTTGTTTTCAAGGCATAAGCTCATGAAAACAATGGCAAAAAAGTATCCAAAAGAGTAAGGGAACTTCAAAGTTGGGAGAAGACAAAACTGCATCAATTTGAGAAGAAGAAAGACATTCATGCCTCCTTGGGATGTAGAGGCCAGGGCCTTTCCCTCCAGCAGGGAGTGGGGACCAGAACACGTTCATTCACAGCACTGAGATGCACACATTCTACATGAAAGCAGACTTGGCTAAGGTGGCCAGACGTGGACCCTGAAGCACCTCCTAGTCTTGGAACATTTCTCATGCCCAAGTTACCTATTACCAGAGAGAATGATCAAAGAACACCTAACTGAAAATGTTCCTCTTCTGTAGTCTAGAATTACCTCTACTGAGACTTTAATTTAACCCTAGAGTAGTAGAGGCCTCTCCCTAAAATGAGGGGCCTCTACTAAGTATGCATTTCCCACCACCCTGAGCAGAGAATCGTGTTTTATAAACACACTATGTGCTCTAAATCCATGCATTGATGGCTAATATTTATTTCTGCTATGAAGAGTAGAGCTGGAAAGCAGATCTCAGTTCTCCTGGGTATTAACTTTATGTAATATTCTTGTGTGCTTTAATGCCTCTGAGGGTCAAGGATAGAAATAAGTGGGAACAATACTGATTAATGAAGAGTGACTCATCTTAACTCTTCCACTTTCTTCCCTGGCTTATCATTTGTTCTGATTTCCTACATGGGTTTAACAATACATAGTCACTTTTTAGGTTATGAGTGCCTTGAGGGCAGGTACTAAGTCTTGTCTGTGACATGGACTACAGGTGTGTTATGTTGCTCACAGAGCCAGTCATTTCCTCAAACCTCTGTCAGATCATTAGGGCTTCTGAAAGTCATCAGCCAGGGCTTTTTTTCTGTTTGAGCTGGATTACTCAGAAATCAGAACAAAAGAGAGACTCTCTCCTTGTCCAAGTCATGGGGGAAGGGGATGTGAGGGTTGTGGGGGGAGATTATTTTCTACTGTCATTCCCCCCGGCACTTTCCTGTGTCTAAGGCTTGTTACAAGTTTATATGCCAGGACCCAGTCTCCAATGGAAACCCGAGGTGTTAGAACCAGTGATATTGATGATTTAGTAGATAATGTTCTTTTTTTCTGAGCTTCAAATGAAACCAGTGGGATATGAGGAGCTATCCTTCAGCTGAGTCATAAAGACAAGTTTCTGTCCTCTTGTACTTAAAAATTCATGCAGCATTTTCTGAAAGCCTGTTGCAAATCAAACTAGTTTACATCTTTTTCTGCCCCTACTGAAATGTTATCCCTAAGATTAAATACCTTTTGAAGCCTTCCTTTTTGCCAGTGAATTGTAATCTGGTATTTTTGGTTCATCAAGAATAAAAATTAGCCTTGGTTACCACTTAGTTAAGCTAAAGAAAAAGATAGGCATTACAAGGAACCAAACAAAACAAGCCATAAATGTCAGTTAGCTGTACCACGCTTTGCTGCAAAGGTTGGCAATCTTAGAAAACCGGCATGCTAACATTGTCTACCAAAGGCAAATAAACCAGCCAATATGAGGCTGGAGACATGTCATCTGCTTCTTCTACTGTCTGGTGATGGTTGTCTCAATGAAAGGGTACTTTGGACTGGGACTGGAAGTGAGGCAGTAGGGGCCAGAGGACAACTGATCATCCCCACATTGAAAACTGGTCTGTGTCTCATAATTAGCCCAGGTGCCATGGTTGCTGATGCCTGGATTAGTCCCTTACAATGAGGTTTCAAATAGCAAATTTGGAACAACAGTATTCTTAGAGTTACCATCAGTTTTACTCTTAGAAACTTGTCAAAAGCCGTTAAAATATTTCCCTCTGTAGTAGCGTGTTTTGGGGAGAAAGACAGGACTCTTGAAGAATTTGCTTTTTCAGAATCATTAATGTCATATAGAGAGGAAAAACAAGCAAACAAACAAACAAAAAACCAAAAACCTCTCAAAAAAAAAAAAAAAACAAAAAAACTTTCTTCTACCCTTTTAGGTTCTGTGGCCAATCTACAAATTAAATGAACATAAGGCAGACCAACAGGAGAAAACCCATCTTAATTATGTATGTATACACGGAAGTTCCTTGAACATCTGAGACTGGCAAGTGGCCAGATGAGAGATTGATTTCTCATCCTAAGCTACAGAAAGGAAAGGAGCTTGGAACGTCTGAGAGGATGGTAGAGACAAATTATGAGAAAGTGAGTGAATACCATGTAATGTAAATGAAGGTTGCCTTGCTATGTAGGTAAAAGTTTCTTACGTGGTAAATATTGATTCTGGGTAGCTTTTCTCCTGGTATACATAACTTTAATACTCAATATTTCTTTTATAAATGTAGCTTTCTTTTACCAAGGGGAAATTTTTATTTTATGGAGTTCCAGTGGAGGAGAAGAACCTGCATTGGCAAGTTCTCAATATGTTTTTAGCTTAGAAAATTCAACAAGCCAAAATAATGTATTTCAAGGTGACATATTCAGAACCCCTTTAGTCATATAACTTACTGCCCTTAAAAATGCATGAAGCATTTCACTTATTTTTTAATTGCTGGAGGACACATGTGCTCACCACAGACAGACAGATGGGGAGAAAGCATCCATCCCTAATAGAGCATGGTCATGCCAAAATCCCTTCTCCACTTCCTAATCCTGTTGAAATGGTGGGAATGCATATACATACACCCAGTATGTAATTCTAGCCACTGGGGTTGAAATTCCAACTGTGATTGGTCATGTGGAATCTGGCTCCCTTAACCATTAGGCTATAAGGTTAGCCCATGAAGAGTTTTCAAAAGGCTCTTGAGCCTTTGAAACACTAGACTGACAACAAGTTACTCAGCCTTGGCCTGATCTCAGAGGGCCTAACCTGGAGAATATCTTGGTAACATCTAACCTATCCCTGCCCTGTACTCATGGAGAAGTTCAGTAAACACTGGTGGCCCATTCTGTGTGCAGCTCTGACTCCTCCCTCTATAGCAGGGTCACAATGGAAAAAAACAGATATCAGGACATTTAAGAAAACCTAAAATAGTGATACACAGTAATAAGAGTAATAGAAATAATAATATCACTACCTGCCTCTGAAACTTCTTAGAAAGGCAAGCAAACTTCTTTCCCATAAGTCTTCTATATCTCAAGTCCCATTGGAATGAATTATAGTCTTTAAAAAATCATCCAAGAGCAAATAACCATGGCCAGCAGGTGGAAAAGGCTGATTAGTTTAGGCCTGAGCCAGCTGCCCAATGACTAGAACAAGAAGCCAAGTGTGTTAAGAGCTTCACCTAAAGCACAAACACCTTTTGGGGTAGGTATGGAAACCCAATCAAGAATAGGATAGTTTCCAAGGGAAGGGGATATATATGATGGAAAGATAGCCACAATGTCCACAGCAACTAGTAATAATGATTTATTTAGCACTCAACATTAAGAAATTTTCATTTAATCCATACAAAAAGCCCACAAAGAAAGGTTCCAATATTTTGCACATTTTCAGATGAGCATAATTGAAATTCAGAGATGCTAAATAACTTTTTAAACTCCCACAGGAAGAGCTGGCATTCAGACTGAAGTTATCTGACTACAAAACTTAAATTTATTGTCTCACTCATAAAGAAGCATTTCTGAGCTTAGCCTGAGAACACTGAAGGAGGCACGTTATCATCCTGGGCTTAGGAGACCAAGCAAGCTGTAGAGTCAGATCCAATTAATTTGCACAACTTCTTCCCCACCTGTGGCTCTCATTGACTCCCTCCGTTGGGCCCTCCTACTTCCATTCACACTTCCCCTGAGACCAGAGGAAAGCATTGCAAAGTAAGTATGATTTCCTTTGAGCAACATCCCCATAAGATAGGCATGGGCTGCAGGAGTAGTGAAAGTGCTTCAAGTATCTCACAAGGTATGGGAACGAGAACAGATGATCTCTAGCAGTTGGTTTCCTTTGGATGTGACAAGACAAGCTCTTATCATGATGTAAAATGGCTCTTATTACTACACTAAATATGCTTCAAAAATTGGATAAAATAATAATTTCTAGCCATTTTTCCATTAAAACCAAGAATTATAGAATAGAAGACATTAGCTAATCGCATTTGTAAGGTTGGGCCAACTGATTATTTCTAGTACTGAGAGATACAGAAGGCTCTTGTGGTAATAACTAGACTGGGCAAAATACCACATCCATAATCATTACTAATATCTTATTCTGTCTGTCAGTTCTTGGGTCTTGACTCTCTGAATAACCTGGATTGTGTCTGTTTCTTCTCTGAAGAAGTGGATGTTGGGAATCAGGCCAAGAATCTGTAGCAAGACAATTGACATATACCTGATGAACTTAGTTCCTCTTGACAGTGAGATCCTCTTGAAAGATCTATTTTGTGACATTTTATTTGGAAGGTTTAAAGGAGTGAAATACAGAGAGCTCTCTGGGTTTAGGAGGAAAGGCTTGCCTCTTTGTGATTTTTGTATTCTCAAGTGGTTTCATTATTCATAAATTCATTTTAAACTGGATATCCATGGCCCTTATCAAACAAACCATGTTAATTTCAAATTGGATCAAATAAAGATAAAGAAAAAAAATAAGAGAATTTAAAATTTTTTCTTTAACAGCTTTTTAATTGACAAACAAAAATTGTTAATTTGTGTGGGGTTTTTTTGTTGTCAGTTTTCAAGTTCTTTGAGGTGCATCTTTAGGTTAATTTGCCACCTTTATATTTTTTTCTTGTGTGAGCACTAAATGCTATAAACTTCCCTTTCTGACCGTTTATGTCCCAAAGATTATGAGGATCATGCATTCATTATCATTGATTTCAATAAATCTTATGACTTCAGTCTAATTTCTTCAGTAGTTAGGAAGTCATTCAGGAGTAAAGTTTTTAAATTTTCCATGGTTTTGTGGAAAGAGTCTTAAAGAGCCTTTTCCAACAGCTCTTTCTGTTCTTGGTTTCAAGTTTTATTTCACTGCGGTCAAAGAAGATTATGGATAAAGTTTTTGTACTTGTAAATTTGCAGAGACTATTTTCTTCACCTATTATGGGGTCAGTCTTGAAAAATGTTCCATGTAGGGATGAGAAAAATGTGTATTTTGTAGTTGTTGAGCAAATTGTTCTATAAATTTCTGTCAGGTCCAGTTGGTTTATGGTATCAATTTGTTCCTGTGTCTCTGTCAAGTAGTGACTATGCAGTGCTAAAATCCCCCAAAATTATCATGTTGCGGTCGATCTCCCCGTTTAGATCTAACTTTTTTTTTTTAATGTATTAGGGTGCTCCAGTGTTAAGTACATAGTTATAATTATTATATTTTCCTGGCTAATTGATTCTTTTCATATGATATAGTATCCTTCTTTGCTTATTTTTACCATTTTTATCTCTAAGTCTATTTTTTCTTATATCAGTATCATGACTTTGGCCTTCTTTCAGTTTCCGTTTACATGAAATTACCTTTTTCAGTGCTTTACTTTCAGTCTATATATGTATTTGTCAATGAGTTATGTTTTTTTCTTTCTTTCTTTCTTTTTTTTTATTTTGGAGAGGTTTTTGCTATAGGGCATGTGTGCTCGCCAGACAGACAGAGAGAGACACAGAGACAGAAAGCGAGAAATCACCCCCCAAGGGGGATGGACACACCACAATCCCTTCTCCTTCATTCTCCTCTCGGGATCTTGGGCACGCACGCACACGCACCCTGCGTGAGTTTAAGCCGCCAGGTCCGGGACTCGAACCGCGGTCGACTATGTGGGAGTCCAGCAACATAACCATTACGCTAACTACTGGTCCCAATGAGTTATGTTTTTTTGTAAGCAACATATAGAGGGTTCCTCTTTTTTTATTAAATCCATTTAGCTCATCTGTGTCTTTTAATTGAAGGATTTACTCCATTAACATTCACCATTATTATCTATATTTGTAGGCTTGTCCCTGTCATTTAATATTCTTTTTAAGGTTGTTTTGAATTCTCATTTGTATTTATCTCCCTTTTTTTCCATGATGTAGCATTATTTTAAGTATTTTCTGAAGATCTATCTGGATATACTATTTTGGGTTGAATAATTTTTTCCAGAGTTTTAAATATTTTCCTATTTTTTTCCTTGCCTATATTGTTTTAGTTGAGAGATCTGATGTTAGTCTAATGGGGTAACTTTTGTAAGTAACTTGACATTTTTCTCTTGCCATTTTTACATTTTTAGACTACTATTTATTTTGTTTTGTGTTATGATATGCTTGGGAGGGTTTTCTTATGTCAAATTTATTTGGTGTTCTTCTATGTCCTTGATCTGGATGTCTGGATGTCACTCTAAATTTTTTAAATTTTCAGATAATATTTCATGACAAAGACTTTGTATGCCTTTATTCATCTCCTTGCCTTCTATGATACCTTTATGCAGATAGTGAGCTACTTAATGGTGTCTAGAATTTCCCATATGTTGTCCTCATTTTTAATGGTTATTTTTCCCATTCAGTTTGGTGACTTTGACTAAATTGGTTTTTGTTTTCAAGATCAGAGATTCTTTCACCTGTATGATCTAATTTGCTGTTAATACTTTCAAGGAAAATTTAGATTTCCTGCATAAGATTCTTTATTTCCAGAAGTTTGATTCCTTCCCATGGTGTCTATTTCTTCATGGAATTCCTCCTTCAAGTTGTGAAATGATTTTCTCATCTCCTGGAATTGATTGTCCATTTTCTCTTGCATCCTATTGAGTTTTGTTATAATAAATATTCTGATTTTCTTCCTGAAATTTCTGTGATTTCTTGTGTTTTACCCTTTGTTGTGAGGAGTTACTGTGTTTCTTGAGTGTAGAGATTATTTTCTAGTTTTCTCATATTTCTTTGATTCTGTGTTGATATTTAGGCATTTGTTGAAGTACTAACTTCTTCCTAATTTTTTGGGAGTATGCTTCTGGAGTTACATGCTCATGTGCTTTCCGGAAATGTGTCTTAGCTCTCCACCCATTTCCCTTTTTATCTGTCTGTAGGGGTGCTGATATCCACCATGGGAATTCAGGGCTCAGATTTGCAAAGAAGAGTTGTGTTTTTGTTTTTTTGGTTTTTTGTTTTTTCTCTCTCCCACAAGGGAGATAGAGTTCCTCTACAGCCTCACGGTTTCAGGCAGTTGGCTCCTCTCTAATTTTACAAACAGAAACCATGCACACCAATGACTCCTGCCAACTCCCTCCTGCTTCTGATGGTCCTGCCTGACTCCTCTTTCTGTGGGGGTTGCTCACAGGCAGGGGACACAGCCCAGGTACCTGTGGTCTTCATAGGCAGTGGCAGTTGGTCCTTTGCTTGGTTAGCTCTTCCCTTATTCAGGACCTTCTTCTCCTGATTACCACAAAGTCTCTGGTCCTGATGTGGCTAGGGTCTGAGCCAGAGAGGTGGAGGACAAGGTGGTAGCACACAGCCTGCACAGCACATGCAATGAAGACAGTTGACACCCAGCCTGTGGGCAGGCAGTGGCCTCCTCCTCCTCCCTTTGGTAGGATGGCAAAAATTGTTATACTTTAGTCAAGTTTTCAGTTTTTAAATAAATTTTTAAAATTAAATAAGTAATAAGATTAGTTATTAAAATATTGTTAAGGTCTACTTAGGTCAATTTTCAGGTGATTATAAATAAGGAAGCTTTTGAGGTTTCAGCATTCATTTTCAATTAGGCTGATATTCTGCACGTATCTAGTTAGTTCTTTCTGTGTCAAGTACCATACTAGTGATGGAAAGTAGTGATAGCTACAATGGCACAGTCTTTATGTACAATGAGCCTTGCTGTCTAGAAAGACAGAAACAAACATGATGAATACTTTCCAAATTGAGAAGTTGTATGAGGATTAATCATAGAGTACCCAGAAGCAGAAAAGCATGAGAGGGATGGAGAGAGCTAGTTCACGTAGGGTAATCAGAAAAGACCTTTCTGAGAGTAAAAGTCTGCAAACAGAGAAGGAAATAGTGTCCAAGAAGAGGAAACAGGATGCGAAAAGGCCTTACAGAGGAATGGAAGCTTGAGTAAGGGAAATAAATTGGAGAGGGGGATATTAGAAGCCAACATTTGCATATCTGTGAAACATTAAAGGATTTTAAATAAGCAACTTGATTAAAAAGTCTTCAATCCAACCATAAGGTCAATGAGTAAAATATGAGAGAGGAACAATCGGGATAGCAATAAACATTTTATTGTCTAGGTGAGATTGTCTAGGAAGAGAGTATAGAGAAGAGAGCTAGTCTAACACTGAGCTGTCAGTACAAAAGAAGAAGCCCATAGAAAAATCACAGGGAGAAAAAGCAGAGAAATGGTTTATCAGAGAAGCCAAAGGGAGGGAGAGAATTATCAGTTAAGGATGGTGGCCTCAGACCAGCCCATGGCCTGGTCATTAAGTAACTGTATCCTACATGGCTGACTGCATGATTCTAGTCCCAGATCTAGATGCTTAAAAACCATGCCAGTCAGGACCAGCAGTTGGAGTATTGGCTATGTCACTGGACTCCCATTTAGTCGACCGAGGTTTGAGTTCTGGACCTGGTGGCTTGAACTCACGCTGGGTACATATGTGTGTGTGCCTAAGATCCCAAGAGGAAAATGGAGGAGAAGGGATTGTGGCTTGGCCATCCTCCCTGGGGGTTGATTTCTCACTTTCTGTCTCTCTGTCTTTCTGGAGAGTGCACACGCCCTATAGCAAAAACCTCTCAAAAAAGAAGAAAGAAAACAACACCAATCATACTTTGTGCATGTCCAAAATCCCAAAAGGAGGGAGAGATGGAAGAGAAGGGATTGCCACATGACCATTCCCCAGGGTGAGCGCTTTCTCATTTTCCCTCTCTTGCTCTCTGTCTCTCTCCAGTAAGGGCAGA